ACTGTATACAAAACTAAACATACCCACGATTCATATCAGCAAACAATCAACATCTGTATTACATCAACATCACTCAACGCACGTTCACAACAACGATAAAAAACTATAACACTCAATATCATCCAGGTGCTCAACAATGGAACAATACTGTTGTTGTTAATCTGTATGCGTTAATGACCTATAAGCAACTAGATGTTCTGTCAAAAAATAGGATGCATACTATCACCAGTAACTTTTACAAATACGTCGAATGGACATTTAAACATAAAGGAATCGATAGACCAAAGATATAGTCCAATACAATAAACATTAAGGGTTTCCATGGCAATACAATAACTGGAATCAATTAGATTTTTTTAAAAAAGCATATCAAATATGGAATCTTCATTTAGCCATCGTAGAATTATTTTTTCGTTGAGGCTTGCTCCTTTGATTTCACATAATCACGCATTTGTTGGAATATTGTCGAATTTTCCATTTCCTTTGGTGGCTCCTTCCTTCCGGATAAGAAGTAGAACAAATCCCATTCCATATGCTCACCATTAATCAAATTATCATATTCTAGCAACTGCTTTCGATCCATTGATCCCAGTGACCTTTCGGCAAATTCGCCGAGGATAATATCGTTCTCCAAAATGCCACGTTTCCTACTTTGATATAACAAACGCGCTCTCAATGTTTCATCTGCTTCACCGGTGCGTTCAACAGCGGTTGATGAGTACAAACGTTGCTGTCCACTGAACGCGGTTAACTGAGGTAAAACGACCGCATAACGACGTGCCACCAACGATGGTATGATCATTAAACGATTCATCTTCTGTATTTCATTGAAAAGATTATTTTAATTTTACATTGGCGAACTGGAGTAATCAATCAATCGATGCTAATAAACGTATTCAACAGTCTGATCGCTAAAGAAACACCCTAATATCGATTATGTTTCACGATATCTTGTGCTTAACAAATCATCGAAAGCCGTACAATTTGACAACACATAGCAACACGTACTAGTCTACAAATATCATCTGGAAATAATGGCACTTTTGCAATGTAGTGGACCCCACCCCACGGTAACCCCCTAACAGCAACGCTTAGGCTTGTGCTGAGGCTCTTCCTTTNCCCTCTTCCGATGGGCGCGTGGGCTGGGGTCTACTACAGTGCAAAAGTACCTGTGTGGTGTTTTTTCATGGTAATTTTCAACGGTGCCGCATCGTATATTTTAAATATCGGTACGGAAGAGAGAAAAGGGATAGCCTCAGCACAGGCCTAAGTGTTGCTGTTAAGGGGTTACCGTGGGGTGGGGTCCACTACANATCAAAAACGCTTCAGACAACGATTCTTCTTTACGCGATGTAAAGCATAAAATTCCCAGAAAAAAGCCTGTTGTTTAAACGGCCCACATAGACGACAGAACGCACCACTCTGAAGCCAAAAAAATAATCACATTAAAACAAAAACCTTCCAGCAGCTGTTCGCTTTGTTCTTTCAAGACTGCACAGCGTCTAGCTCCACCCCTAACATTATTCGTTCACGTTCGCAACTCTTCGTGAGTAAAATTTAAAAACTTGTGCATCGCCAGTGCAAATTTATATCAAAATATTATTTAATTTATGTAAAATAATCAAACCGAATGTCAGTATCAAAATTTTTAATTGAATTCTGAGTTTTTGGGTTCAAGATTAAGTAGTTCTCTCCAAAGTTTCGATCGTTTCATTCCTGAACATCGAATGTTATTTCGGTGGTCAGAATTCAAATAATTCAACTGACTTTAGAAGTGTTACATTAATGGATGAGAACGTAGTTCGCTGGTTACTATGCGGCGCATGTGCAGGATTAGCTGTCGATTTGAGTTTATATCCGATTGATACTGTGAAGACTCGATTACAAAGTGCTCAGGTTTGTTTGGTGATTGTCACATCCGGAAATAATTCAGTCATTGTGCATTAATGTTCATTTCCGTTCATTTAAAGCCTCTTCGTTTAGGCTTTTTCCATTCTTATTAAGTTGTCCTGAAAATCTTTGGAACTATTTAAATAATTAAAATTGTCTTGAAATTTCTCATGTTGAAAGTCTCGCGCTCACATGCTTATGAACCAGTATTTTAGGGTTTTAAGGCTGCAGGTGGTTTCAAGAATATTTATAGAGGAATGAGTTCGGTTGCGATTGGTTCCGCACCTGGTTCTGCATTGTTTTTCTCGACGTATACTGCGACAAAACATTTTTTTGGCAATCAATGTTATTTTTTATTCAACTTTCATTCATCACCTTATGCATTACAATATTAGATATTGATCAATTCAGTTGTATTCAACGGGCTTGAACCTAAAGGCGGTGAATGGGTTTGCAATAGGTTTGAATAAATTTAAATAAAATTATCAATCTCTGCTGAAGTATAGCCGTTTGAAAGAAATAGCAAATTTTATTCGCATTGCAGCATCCAAGACTCATGCGATAGCAGCATGTATTGGTGAGATCGTTGCATGCGGAGTACGTGTACCTACTGAACTTATTAAACAACGGGCCCAGGCCACTCACGGACGATCAATTACAACTATTTGTCGGTCGATTTTTAATTCGGAAGGTACATTCATGTTCAGCTTTCTGAATCGAAAGAAATTGTCCTAGCAAAAGGCAATACAGATCGCATTCAAAAGTAGTGTTTCGACTGAAATCGGATGCTGAACGATCAACTCAACAGCCATCCGAACCGTCACGCGCTTAGCTCATCAAACTACATTGCAACGCGTAGCAATGTAAACTATTAGCCGCTTCACCGAATCATGATGGAACCAAACAGTGAAACCCAACAGAGAGAAAGTAGAAAAATAAAATAAAAACGAAAACCTCCAATAAATGTAGAGGCAGACTTGTGAATTAATTAAATGGCTATGAGTTGATGCAATTCTTTCAAATATTGTCATGAAATAATGGTCGCATTAATTCAGGAATTCGTGGCTTCTATCGTGGTTATTTGAGCACATTGAGCCGTGAAGTACCTTTTTCGTTAATCGAATTTCCGTTATGGGAAGCGTTGAAAATTTGGATTTCAAAGTAAATGGTTCTTTTGATTTCACAAATAATGTTTTCGTTGTCAGTGTTTTTATATTGTAAGTTGATGATTTCTTCATAATTGATGTTTTAAAAAATTGTTGCAATGAGGTGTAAAAATGTCTTATCCTAGGCGTAAAAAGCGTGATTGTACTCCACTGGAATCTGCAGCATGTGGTAGT